GGGGGGGCGTCGGTCGGGCTGACCCTCAGGGCTACTCAGCCCTGGCAACTCCTATCAAAATATTCACATGTATGTATTTATATACTTATACTTGCAAGTAGTAAATATATAAATACATTATATAAAAAATATTGGCTGGAGAAATAAAAATGGAATATTTGGAAGAATGCTCTATTAGAAGAACGCTCTATGAGAATGCATTCGACTTTTATCTGGATTTTCATAATTGATCGCCCAATTGTAGTAAAGAGAGAAGTATGTTTATAAAACGACTACCCGTACACTCGGCATGCTGCTACAGTTGTGTCGGATACCCACTGCAGTGAATAATATAAATCCGCACTACCCCGAACTTGAAGTATAATGTCAATTTATCATAGCTTATTACACATACCTACTTCACATCAAGTTTATATTTATTGGACAAACATGAAATGGACATTTCATATCCACTAGTTTATTGAGCAAACATCATTGACAAAAAACGTAAGGATGGCAATAACATGGCCAGAGAAATAACAAATAACCGTCACCGTTAGATTTTATTTATTTATTGTGGATATATAAATGGAAAATAGGACAACTGATATTTTAGGGCAGGGTGGTGTTACCCCACTAGCCAGGTACAAGGCCCACAAGACGTGATTTAAATTTCCAATGTAATAAATTTTATTGCATCAGGTAACACGTAGTTAATGTAACATAACTAGCTCGCGAACTACCTACTTTTCATCAAGTTTATATATATATATATATACACATTGTAAAGTGATCCGCCTACAATATATCTCTTTCTGCTAGCTTCCTTTCTCAAATTAAATTTAGATTTCGAAAGTATCTATAATATCTTAAGTTTGAACTTTTTTTCGATTATGACCGATATTTTATTAATAAATTCAAAAAGGCAGATAATAATATCTTATTGAAAATTGGAAAATAATGTCGTTTTACCTGTGATTTCAAGTATTATGCAAATTATATCAAACTCAATCTTGCTCATTCGTCCACACCAGGTAAAGGACGACCATATCACAGGAAGACAAACAGACAAAACTAAAAATTCAGGAAGGAATAAAGCTGAATAATGAAAAAGGAATAAAAACGAGAGAGGTGTAGAAGAAAACACAGGGAAATGCTGTTGTATCTTGTTGTTCGAGACTGAACAGGAAACTGAATATCTGTTCTACTTGATATACTGTCCTCGTTCAGTTTCGAATGAAAACAGATTATTTTTTACGATGCAAGATTTTTACTTAAAGATAATTGAACATTACATAAATCGTGAGTTTCAGTTGATATTGATGAAAATGTCTTCTTAGAGATGTCGCCATATACCTGCCCGTGAAGCACAGACATGTGATCATTTGAAGATAGAATAACCTCCCTTGTTTCTGTGATCGCAGTATCAATGGAAACCTCACTCAGTAAAATCTCCAAGGATGTATCGTTTGTTGGAGTCCTTCACCTCTAGCCCTTCTCGTAAGATGTCATCATCCTTGGCATAGAGTTTGTCAAATCGGAAAACGCAGCCCAAATATTCCTGTTCAGTCCTCAACCTTGTAGCTGAATTCATAGTTTGTAAAGGCACCTTTCCTCTTTATGTCGCTTTACGATATATAATTTGAAACGTTTTAGGTAAACATTAGCATTCTTTTTAAATCTCAAGTACATCAATTTGGTATTTTTTTTAAAACATGTGCTTCCATACTTCTTCTTTTTATTATGTCTTACAATTAAGTTTAGTAAATGCTAACTTCGTTTTGAACACAAACAGCAATTGGTTTTTTTATACAAATGATACTAATACGGGTAGAGTTATTGTATCACACTTCTCTTTGACTTCTAAATCGTTTCTTTCACGTGCAACTAAAGCATTGTCAAAATCGGATTCACTTGTCATATTCAAATCGTGAGGATATGCATGTCAAATAAATGGGCTTTATATATTATTATTTTCATTCCAGTAGCTTTGAAAACACGAGTTTCACAAACCCAGCGGTATGTCACAAACGCCAAACCTGAAACGAAATGACGTCAAAGGTATGGTACACTCATGTGCGTCAACATCTGACGTGCCGTAATAATCCTGGCACACACTGAGCTTCCGATTTCATTATGACATTTCTCAGGGGTGTAGACAGCAATGGAATATCGAGTATGAGATATGGACTTACAAGTATATCAGTCGCCAAAACTACATCTGTAAGTGTTCCAAGACAAATTATACACGGATCACTATATACGTTTGCAATCCACGACGATGGTGTTACGAAGAGTGACACACATGTATGTTTCTTGATCAAACTTAACATGAACGCCGTGATGTATTATCCAATTTTACATGGTTAGTATACCATGAAAAGTATCAAAGTATCGGTAAGTCGCCAACGTGGTAGATCCGTGGAAATCAATTGTTACTCGAAAATGATGCCAAATACCTGTCCTTTATCAACGGCGGTACAGTTGTTCTTTGAGGCAGCGGTTTTAAAAGTAAATACTATGGTTTTACATGTAACACTTTCCATACCGTTTCGACCAGAGTATCCTTTTTTGCCATTTCCTAGACTTACTTTTAGCGTATAGTATGTAGAAGGTTTCACAGTAACAGGTTTATTGAACAGCACCTTGAAAGTTTTTTCATTTGGCAATAAGTTCACTGTCGTGTTAGTCTTTTGACAAAGCTCTATAATTTCTATGTGGACGTGGTATGTGGCACCTTCACATCCGAAGAGAATAAGGCCTACTATATCTACTGCTTCAGAAACCATAAACTGTAATATATCCGGTTCAGTAGACATCCAGCCTGAACCGTTTATATTGTCATCTTTGAATCTATAACATGTGTCCTGCATGTGGACGATCTTCCATGCGACCGTCGCCCGTTGTTTAGATTGAAATCGTGTCTTTGAGAAGTCACTGGTTATATACCCTCTCAATAACATGATTTGTTCTTCTGATGTAAAAAGTTCAGCATGCTTCTCGGAGATTGACACAAACTTCTCCTGACTTATCAGTGGAAACCTCAGTAAGTACAGGAGATCTCCCAGGACGTGTCGCCTATTGGAATCGTTCACCTCTATATCCTTATCGGTACATCTACGGTCAGCCCAAGACAGAACAGCAGTAAAGATGTCCTCTTCACTGGCTTTGAGATTGTCCGACCTGAGAACATCACCGAGACATTCATGGCCTAAATCTGAGAGAAGTTTTTCTTTCACTATTACATTACTGTGTTTTTCTATAAACTCCAGACAACTCTGACGTAAGTCCCGATTGTCAAACACATGGGCAGTCTCCATTATGGTACATACGTTTGCTGTGGACAAGTTGTCCGTCATAAACTGACTGCATTCATTGACCAGCCGTCCTACGTTGTATTTATTGGCTGTGTACATCAGAGCCGTGACGTTGTCAGCCGTTATAGTACACTTGTCCGTGTACAGATATCTACAATAAAAGAAGTTTAAAATATTTTACTGTATTCTAGTATAGATTTCAACCAAGAATACAGAATAAAATGGAACCTATCACGCATTGCAAGTCCCTATAATGGTTGAAATACTGTAAGCTGGTTTGGAGGTCTAAACTTCTGTAGTTTCTTCATGTCTAATCCCAGCATCGGGGACACCTTGTGTCGGACCAGTAAATGTAGATGTCAATTTAATTTACAGATTTCTTTTACCTCCCTACAACTCTTTGTAATCCCTAGTCTGCATGATATTTTATGTTTTATACACATACGCGAAATAAACATTCATTGAAGACCAGATTCACGTCCAAAGCGACAAATGCAGAAATCAATTGTGTATTATTAAGATTGAAAACAAATGTTTCTGTTTCTAATTTACGTTACAACAATATATCACACATGTTTTACTCACCGGAGAAAACATTTAAATGTGTCACTTTCCACGTCCGGAATCTCCACTGTACTGTCTTTCTACGCCAAGGGACCGAACAGCATGGCCCTGAATACCGAGCTCCTAATGGCCAGAACAAATTTGTGGGCGGGGACGACATCTGACCCCGCCTTTCCCAGCTTAAATGAGATGTCACAGTCCATTCCATTTGTCAGCATGTAGTCCATACTCTCCAGTAATGTCAGTTCGTCCTGCCAGTTAGATGCCATGGTGTTACACTTTCTGTAAATGAAAAAATAAGAATACATTCCAATATCCGCTTTTTTACCTATTAAAAGATAAAGGGTTTTCTCTCATTTCCCTGTGTGTTAGATAGAGCTGTCCAGGGTAAGAAAGGGGTGTTGGAAATTTCTTTCTCGCACCTCAGACAGAGATATCCCACGACATACCCCATGCTAGATTTTTCTATATCGTCCGATCTGTCTTGCACCTTTGCGTGACTTTTCGCGGAATTTTTACACTGTGATGCATTCATCCACGCGTTAACTGCTTGAAATTGATAATCTGCATTATAAATGTTCTGTTTTGTTGTTATATGTATAGTTTTTATGTTGTTAGATATCTTATGTTGTAGATAAAATATAATCTACACTGTGAAATACGTTGCCATCTATGTAGGAACGGACAGCATTTTTACGCGGAAGCATTCGAATGTAGCTTAAGAAGTGAAGAGGTCATTATCATTTAAGGCCCCAGATGGGATACTTGAAGTTTTTAGCAAAACAATATTTTTGATCGAACTAAACGGAGCGAGAGAAAAAATTAAATTACCTGTAACTGAGCAAGATCGGGTTATCTCAGTCGAGGTTTAAGTTTCTGTAACAAAATCCCAACCGAGGTGTAAGCCGAGGTTGGGATGTTACAGAATCTTAGCCCGATCTTGCTCAGTTACGAGTAATACATTTTATTAATCTTACATCCCATTTCACGTGACGTGACGTCACAATGGCTCAACAATGACGTGACGTCACGAATTTGGAACTCTCCGATGCCGCAATGCGGAAAAGGCGACGTGATGAATTTAAAAACCTTTTACGATATATTTACCGTACACATTAGAAAGAAGTGATTAATTTTCCTGCGCAAAAAAATTGTTTGCCAATTTGGGATATTCTAAATCCGGCTTGCTGATTCGTTTTTGTCTAAAAAGCTCTGGGGGGAATTGATATTTTCAAAATGGTGGCAAGTCCAAACGCATTTTCATGGTTTCTGAGCTTATTCTAGTGGTTGGAATGAGAGAAAAATACTCTTCCCTGCCCAAGGGTGTAGGATAGGAAAATTCCACCCCCAGGATTTTCAAAATTTGTCAAAAACCTCGGCAAAGCCTCGGGTTTTACCAAATTTGAAAACCGCTCGGGTGGAATTTCCCTATTCTACACCCCTGAGCATGAAAGAGTCTTATAGTATTTTGCTTATTGGGAGGTTTCTCTATAAGGGTCGTTTTACTTCCAAATGTAAGCATTTTTTTATTTGAAAGAGTGTAATATAAGAGAGGAAATTAGGATCGGGTAATCACTTACGGAGTTTACACACATCCCGTTACTCCAGGACATTTTTTGCTGCACATCAGGATTCACATGGTCTTTTTGACAAATAAATTATTTGGAAAGTTTTATTTTCTGAATGTTTTACGGTCTTAATCATCGCTTGATTTAAGGTTATTTTTTAGTGAGTTTATCGTCATTCAAAGTTTGTCCTCCTGTGTGTGATGTATTGGCCTAGGTACATGCTTGTTAATTCCCTTCCAAAAACAAACCACACCCACACCCTCCCCGTGTTAATGCATTTAATATTCAATAATGTACATACAAGTGCCCGGTCCTAATGACTTACAGCTTGTTCTATTGTTGGGAAATCTTCAACGTACAAAAATCACACAATTTTAATCTTTATTACAATATCTCTAAATTTATCAAACATCACTGAAATAAGAATAGTGTGTGTACTTTCTGTCTCCCAAACATTTTTAGGATGATTATTTTAATGAAGATATTTTTATCAGAAAAATTAAATTAAAAAACACATTTGTGAACGCTCAAGGTCATTTTGCCCAAGGGTCCCTATATTCAAGATACCCTAGTTCAAAATAGTTTATTGACTTTTCTTGCTCCTGAGACCTTGTATTAATGACTGAAAGAACAAAAATGGATGTTTGATACATCATCGCCATGACAGGCCCTAGTTAAGGACCGGTTCACGGTTATTTAGATCTTTGGTGACCTATAGACTGTCATAAATTTAATCGGAGGCCTTATGAGCGACATTTGACCTATATACTGTCCTAGATTTAGTCGGAGGTGTAAGGTGCCACATGTGACTTATCTACTGTCCTAGATTTAATCAGATGTCTTAGGTGCCACATGTGTTGTAGGGAAACGCTTATCCTTACTGAGCGCCTGGTCCAGACTCATATTATTTATTACCAAAGGCCCTTAGGCGTATAGGTACAAACATATATATATATATATATAAAACACAACGCATTGTCTCGGAATATAATTCGAATGGGCAGAGGAGTGGCATCACAGTGTGCTTAAAACACTGGTCAACAATGTACATATAACAACACTTAATTAACACATCACAGCTATGAAACACCACATTACATGAACCTATAATGGACGCCTCATTGATTCTAAATATGAATATTTTGCTAAACTGGATAAATCTCGAACATTATTTATACTAAGGAGTTGTAAAATTTTGAGAAATTATGAGTTTTCTCTAATAGAATTGTTTTATTAATCTGTTCCTTAGGTCGGTATAAAATGGACAAATCAAACTAGAATGGAAACCATCTTCTATATCGCTCAAATTATATCGAGTACAAATCCTGCGTACGACATGATAGTGTCTTCCCATTTCTACAATCTAGTATCCATGTGTTTATATTTCACCTCGCTCTCTAGGGGTGGGTGGGGTCATGATCGTTTCCTTGCTTCCCCTGTTCCTGTTGTGTTATTCATGTAACGCCTACAATTTCTATTCTGTCCTTGGGTTGACGCTATTGTATGTCCTCTTATGTGTGAAATGACACTGTGGTATAGTGCTATCCCGGTGTGTCTATCCTGTATGTTTCGTCTTTGTGTTGCCGTGATGTCCTTGTGTTTTGACGCTTTGTTGTATACGCTATGGTATATCCTTTTTTGTATCTCATGTCATAAGATATATTATCAAAATTGCATAGTAACTTATATCTACTGATATCGTACCAATGAAGAATATTAGTGGACACGTATAAAAGGTCTAAACGTAGAAGTTCTAATAATAGTGAATTAACCTAATTTCGTTTAGAAAGGTTTATCTGGTGAACAATATTGTGCAAGTTCACTATGCAAATTGAAGTTCGTTCAGAGAGACGTGCTCGTTTATAACCCTTTTCAGTATTTCTACTTTCGTTTCTGTTTGTATCAAACGTGTATCACGTGATTCATAATACAAATGACTGAAGTCTTATCTATTCCTTTAGCAGGACATTTGCGTGGAACGTCGTACATATGCAGAATTTTCTTTATGACATCAGATTTTTTCAGTTCGATAAACACTGTTCAAAAAGCCTCTCAAAACTACGTCATTCTCTTTTCTTTAAAACATATCGGTAGGTTTGTAAACATGTTATTGTGTATGCAGTACAACAGAGACGTACCGTGATCATAGGGACCCTGGCTGTTGTTAGTGTACTAATAGGGTCGCGAGTAAAGGGTTGTGATCACATGGATCCATTAAGACTAACCTTGTGTTCCTTGCTGTACCTGTACACTCCTTGTACTGTATAACGAAAACCTTACTCAACGTGCCAGGTTTTTCCTGTTTACCTACTACGTCTACTTTCGTTTTGAAAAGGTTGATTCATTGGACCGTGACTACAGGGGTCCTAACTGTTCTTGGTGTAATGATCAGGTTATGATAACAGGGATCCTTACTGTTGTCTGTGTACTGATAGGGTCGTTATAACAGATATCCTTACTGTTGTCTGTGTACTAATAGGGCCGTGATTACAGGGATCCTTACTGTTGCCTGTGTACTGATAGGGTCGGGATCACAGGGATCCTTACTGTTCTCTGTGTACTGATAGGGTCATGATTACAGGGATCCTTACTTTTGTCTGTATACTGATAGGGTCGTGATCGCAGGGATCCTTACTGTTGTCTATGTACTGATAGGGTCGTGATCGCAGGGATCCTTACTGTTGTCTGTGTACTGATAGGGTCGTGATTACAGGGATACTTACTGCTGTCTGTGTACTGATAGGGTCGTGATTACAGGGGTCCCTACTGTTGTCTGTGTACAGATAGGGTCATGATTACAGGGATCCTTACTTTTGTCTGTATACTGATAGGGTCGTGATCACAGGGATCCTAACTGTTGTCTGTGCACTGATAGGGTCGTGATCACAAGGATCCTTACTGTTGTCTGTGTACTGAGAGGGTCGTGATGACAGGATCCTTACTGTTGTCTGTGTACTGAGAGGGTCGTGATGACAGGATCCTTACTGTTGTCTGTGTACTGAGAGGGTCGTGATGACAGGATCCTTACTGTTGTCTGTGTACTGCTAGGGTCGTGATTACAGGATCCTTACTTTTGTCTGTGTACTGATAGGGTCGTTATCACAGGGATCCTTACTGTTGTCTGTCTACTGATAGGGTCGTGATCACAGGGATCCTGACTGTTGTCTGTGTACTGATAGGGCCGTGATTATAGGGATACTTACTGTTGTCTGTGTATTGATAGAGATACTTACTGCTGTCTGGGTACTGATAGGGTCGTGATTACAGGATCCTTACCGTTGCCTGTGTACTGATAGGGTCGTGATCACAAGGATCCTTACTGTTGTCTGTGTACTGCTAGGGTCGTGATTACAGGATCCTTACTGTTGGCTGTGTACTGATAGGGTCGTGATTACAAGATCCTTACTGTTGTCTGTGTACTGATCGGGTCGTGATCACAAGGATCCTTACTGTTGTCTGTGTACTGAGAGGGTCGTGATGACAGGATCCTTACTGTTGTCTGTGTACTGTGATAGGGCCGTGATTACAGGGATCCTGACTGTTGTCTGTGTACTGATAGGGCCGTGATTATAGGGATACTTACTGTTGTCTGTGTATTGATAGAGTCGTGATCACAGGGATCCCTACTGTTGTCTGTGTACTGATAGGGTCTTGATCACAGGGATCCTTACTGTTGTCTGGGTACTGATAGGGTCGTGATTACATGGATCCTTACTGTTGTCTGGGTACTATTAGGGTCGTGATAACAGGGATACTTACTGTTTTCTGTGTACTGATAGGGTCGTGATCACAAGGATCCTTACTGTTGTCTGTGTACTGCTAGGGTCGTGATTACAGGATCCTTACTGGTGTCTGTGTACTGATAGGGTCGTTATCACAGGGATCCTTACTGCTGTCTGGGTACTGATAGAGTCGTGATTACATGGATCCTTACTGTTGTCTGGGTACTATTAGGGTCGTGATAACAGGGATACTTACTGTTGTCTGTGTAGTGATAGGGTCGTGATCACAAGGATCCTTACTGTTGTCTGTGTACTGTGATAGGGCCGTGATTACAGGGATCCTGACTGTTGTCTGTGTACTGATAGGGCCGTGATCACAGTGATCCTTACTGTTGTCTGTGTAGTGATAGGGTCGTGATCACAAGGATCCTTACTGTTGTCTGTGTACTGTGATAGGGCCGTGATTACAGGGATCCTGACTGTTGTCTGTGTACTGATAGGGCCGTGATCACAGGGATACTTACTGTTGTATGTGTACTGATAGGGTCGTTATCACAGGGATCCTTACTGCTGTCTGGGTACTGATAGAGTCGTGATTACATGGATCCTTACTGTTGTTTGTGTACTGATAGGGTCGTGATCACAGAGATCATTACTGTTGTCTGTGTACTGATAGGGACGTGATTACAGAGATCCTTATTGTTGTCTGTGTACTGATAGGGCCGTGATTATAGGGATACTTACTGTTGTCTGTGTATTGATAGAGTCGTGATTACAGGGATCCTTTTTGTTGTCTGTGTAATGATAGAGTCGTGATTAATAGGGTCGTGATTACAGGGGTCCCTACTGTTGTCTGTGTACTGATAGGGTCATGATTACAGGGATCCTTACTGTTGTTTGTGTACTGATAGGGTCGTGATCACAGAGATCATTACTGTTGTCTGTGTACTGATAGGGACGTGATTACAGAGATCCTTATTGTTGTCTGTGTACTGATAGGGCCGTGATTACAGGGATCCTAACTGTTTTCTGTGTACTGATAGGGTCGTGATCACAGGTATCCTTACTGTTGTCTGTGTACTGATGGGTCGTGATCACAGGGATCCTTACTGTTGTCTGTCTACTGATAGGGTCGTGATCACAGGGATACTTACTGTTGTATGTGTACTGATAGGGTCGTTATCACAGGGATCCTAACTGTTGTCTGTGTACTGAGAGGGTCGTGATGACAGGATCCTTACTGTTGTCTGTGTACTGAGAGGGTCGTGATGACAGGATCCTTACTGTTGTCTGTGTACTGTGATAGGGCCGTGATTACAGGGATCCTGACTGTTGTCTGTGTACTGATAGGGCCGTGATCACAGTGATCCTTACTGTTGTCTGTGTAGTGATAGGGTCGTGATCACAAGGATCCTTACTGTTGTCTGTGTACTGCTAGGGTCGTGATTACAGGATCCTTACTTTTGTCTGTGTACTGATAGGGTCGTTATCACAGGGATCCTAACTGTTGTCTGTGTACTGAGAGGGTCGTGATGACAGGATCCTTACTGTTGTCTGTGTACTGCTAGGGTCGTGATTACAGGATCCTTACTGCTGTCTGTGTACTGATAGGGTCGTGGTTACAGGGGTCCCTACTGTTGTCTGTGTACAGATAGGGTCGTGATTACAGGGATCCTTACTGCTGTCTGTGTACTGATAGGGTCGTGGTTACAGGGGTCCCTACTGTTGTCTGTGTACTGATAGGGTCGTGATCACAGGGATCCTTACTGGTGTCTGTGTAATGATAGGGCCGTGATCACAGGTATCCTTACTGTTGTCTGTGTACTGATAGGGTCGTAATCACAGGGATCCTTACTGTTGTCTGTGTACTGATAGGGCCGTGATCACAGGGATCCTTACTGGTGTCTGTGTAATGATAGGGCCGTGATTACAGGGATCCTTACTGGTGTCTGTGTACTGATATTGCCGTGATCACAGGGATCCTTACTGTTGTCTGTGTACTGATAGGGCCCTGATTACAGGGATCCTTACTGGTGTCTGTGTACTGATATTGACGTGATCACAGGGATCCTTACTGTTGTTTGTGTACTGATAGGGCCGTGATCACAGGGATACTTACTGTTGTCTGTGTACTAATAGGGCCGTGATTACAGGGATCCTTTTTGTTGTCTGTGTACTGATCGGGTCGTGATCACAGGGATCTTTACTGTTGTCTGTGTACTTATAGGGCCGTGATCACAGGGATACTTACTGTTGTCTGTGTACTTATAGGGCCGTGATCACAGGGATCCTAACTGTTGTCTGTGTACTGAGAGGGCCGTGATTACAGGGATCCTTACTGTTGTCAGTGTACTGATAGAGTCCATACTGATGTCTGTTTTCTGATAGGGTCGTGATCACAGGGATCTTTACTGTTGTCTGTGTACTGATAGTGACGTGATCACAGGGATCCTTATTGTTGTCTGTGTACTGATAGGGTCGTGATCACAGGGATCTTTACTGTTGTCTGTGTACTGATAGGGCCGTGATTACAGGGATCCTTACTGTTGTCTGTGTACTGATAGGATCGTGATTAAAGGGATCCTTGCTGATGTCTGTCTACTGATAGGGTCATATTGGTGTACAGATAGGGATTGTCAAGTCAATTTGATATTGTTTTAGATTTAATAGAAGCACATCTAAAACATCAATGTATTTTTAATTCAAATTGTGTAAATGTAATAAAGATATCTTTGAATGTAAAAGAGGCGTTTCTTAAAGAAATAGATATCTGAATTCAAATAGAGATATCTATTAATTAATTATTGATATTAATATCGTTTAATTAACCCTAAATGAAACACAATTTATTTTATCTACTGCGCATGACCATACTGCCCTTTATCCTAACTTCTTTTAAACAATACATTAATCGTTAAATGAATAAAACTTTAAAAAGAGTTACAGATATCCCTGGGGACATTAAATACACATCCGTATACCTTCTATATGTACCATTCACAAATGTTTTAAACTATGTTTTGATGAAATCAGGCGATATTAAGTGATAATTTCAAAGTTTTTAACAATCCATCAAATCAAATGTTGTCCTTTTTCACTGAAATCTTGATGGAATACATCTAAAAATACATTCTCCGTACCGTGTATCTCTCGTTGTGGAGTTAAGCCTTCAACAGTAGAGTTAGGTCGTCACTACAGAACGAATCTAATCAAATAAATAAACTTCTTGTAGCCAAGCTTACAAGTCCAAATTTGTGCTTTTTATTTCATGTTATAAGTTATATTATCAAATTGCATAGTAACTTATATCTAAGTGCCTTGTGTTCACTTTGAATATTCTATTTGACACGCACATTACCTCTGACCCTGCCGACCACAAAGTATCGTGTAAATATTACCTCTGACCCTGTCGAACACAGAGTATCGTGTAAATATTAACTCTGAACCTGACGAACACAGAGTATCGTGTAAATATTAACTCTGAACCTCTAGAACACAGAGTATAGTGTAAATATTACCTCTGACCCTGTCAAAGACAGAGTATCGTGTAAATATTAACTCGGAACCTGACGAACACAGAGTATCGTGTAAATATTAACTCTGACCCTGTCGAACACATAATGTCGTGTAAATATTACCTCTGATTCAGTCAACACATAGTATCGTGTAAATATTACCTCTGATCCAGTCAACACATAGTATCGTGTAAATATTACCTCTGATCCTGTCGACACATAGTATCGTGTAAATATTACCTCTGATCCAGTCAACACATAGTATCGTGTAAATATTACCTCTGATCCAGTCAACACAAAGTATCGTGTAAATATTACCTCTGATTCAGTCAACACAGAGTATCGTGTAAATATTACCTCTGACCCTGTCGAACACAGAGTATCGTGTAAATATTAACTTTGACCCTGTCGAACACATAGTATCGTGTAAATATTACCTCTGATCCAGTCAACACATAATATCGTGTTAATATTACCTCTGAATCAGTCAACACATTGTATCGTGTAAATATTACCTCTGATCAAGTCAACACATAATCGCAATTTCTTGGATTCTGCTCTCGTGACATCTTGTAAATTCGCTTATGCATGATAAGATGATAATAACGTAAAAATGGCTTCAATTATGCACGCAGTGAGATAAGTAGCAGTAGGGAAAAGGCATCGCACGTCAATAGAATTTTAAATCTTTTGATATTCATATACTAAATGTATTACTAAAACATATACCTTCAATTTTAACCGCAGTTTTTTCCCCGACAGATTGCGGTGTGGTAACTTTAATATCCTACTTCTGTGATACTGTACCTCCCAACATACCTATCGTATTTCGTCTTACGGTACGGCTCCATTTAACAATGACGTCATGATAGTGTGATTGAATTTAGTTACTCTTTTAAAAGTAGCTTGTGTTGTTTGTAATTAAGGATACTTACTTCTCCTTTAAAACATTTTTTTTTTATAATATATCATGTTAAATAGATTTTAGTGTTTTAAGCCAATACCATCATTCAAAAAAGTCATGAAGTAAAAGAGTTCTGCAGTAGACACCAGCGTCACCAATGAGCGTTTCCGCTTTTTGCAAATATTAGAAATCAAAACGCACCATGGCTTAAGTCACAAATCTATGTTGACTTCTCAACAATTTTCATTGTTTTCATTTCAAATTTAATTGAATGACTATATTCTCATGGTTTTAGTTTATTCGTACTGTCCTGCACAAATCGTTTGGTCCTCACACTCGCTATAGTTTCAAAACCGCAAACAAACAAACAAATTTCAAATATTTAAAACTAATCAGCTGTAAACAGAAATGTAATATCGGACATGCATTCTGAGACTACGTCCAGAATACTTAAGAATTATTCATGTAAAAAGTTATCAGTTTTGGAACCGATCCGACGTGGGTCCTTCCGCCTTATGAGCCGATTAGACAAAGGTAATTAACAAGATCATTGATTTCAAAATGTATCCATAAAGAGGTGTTAGAATATCCTATGTTAAGCTGCATATCAATGAATACAGTGACATCAAGCTACATTTGTACAGGATTTGGTGGTGTCTCCATAGGCGCCCGTCTTCGTTTGACCTAAGCTGTTGGAGGATGTGAAACACTGAACAAATCAAAACATATCGGATTGTCCTGAAATAGATTACGATATATTATACTGTATTAGTTTCTATTAAACATGATACCGAATATCTGTCCAGTGGAAACATCTGTGCCATTTCCTGATTGACTTGATGTGGAAAATACAAATGAAATGTCTCCACACATTACACGTGATATTCCATTCTCACCAAAATACGTTCTGGGGCCGTTGCCGAGACAAACTTTCAGTGTATAGTTCTTATTAGGTTGGACCTCAACTGGTTTACTGAAGAGCACCTCAAATGTTTTCTCAGTTGATGTCGATACCACAGTTGTCTTGGTTATTTGACCGAGCTCTACAACTTCTATGTGGACATTGTATGCAGAACTTCCTTCAGTACACCCAAAGAGAACAAGTCCTGTAATGTCCACGGGTTCAGAAACCTTGAATGTCAACGCATCATGATCTCCCAAATAGTTCCATCCCGTTGTGTTGCGAATATGTTCATGTGTAAATCTATAGCATATATTCTGCGTTTTACATTCACTTCTCCTGTTTGATGAAAATGGCGATTTAGAAAAGTTGCCAGTTACGTAACCACGAAACATAGTCACCTGTTCCTGCAGAGATAACAGGCTCTCATTTGTTTCGGAGATTGACACAAACTTCTCTTGACTCATCAGTGGAAACCTCAGTAAGTATAGGAGATCTCCCAGGACGTGTCGCCTGTTGGAATCGTTCACTTCTAGATCCTTCTCGGTACATCTACGGTCAGCCCAGGACAGAACAGCAGTAAAGATGTCCTCTTCACTGACTTTGAGATTGTCCGACCTGAGAACATCACCGAGACATTCCTGGCCTAAATCTGAGAGAAGCTTTTCTTTCACTATTACATTACTGTGTTTTTCTATAAACTCCAGACAGCTCTGACGTAAGTCTTGATTATCAAACAAATAGGCAGTCTCCATTATGGTACATACGTTGGCTGTGGACAAGTTGTCCGTTATAAACTGACCACATTCCTTGACCAGCCGTCCTACATTGTATTTGTTGGCTGCGTACATCAGAGCCAGGACGTTGTCAGCCGTTATAGTACATGTGTCCGTGTACAGAAATCTACAATAAAAGTTTAAAATATTTACTCTATTCTTTAAAATTGTGTTGAGGTCATTTGGGTGAATGCTGTTTGCAGTTCTGTAGTATATAGTACTCATCCAAGTTTTCAAAAGAAAATATTTAGAACTTAACAAGCGTTTTAAGTCTCTATAATGGTTGAAATACTGTTAGCCGGTTAGGAGGTCTAGAATTTTGTAGTTTCTGCATGTCTTATCCAGCATCGGGGACACTTTGTGTCGGACCAGTAAATATAGAGGTCAATTTAGTTAACAGATATTTTTTTATCCAAGTACAACTACTTGTACTCCCTTACCTGCATGACATTTAATGTTTAATATGCAGGCGTGAAATAAAAATTCATTTAAGAGCAGATTCAAGACACTACAAGCCGCAAAATGTTCGTCCAATAAAATTTCGCCCTTGTGCATTCTATAAATAGTAAAACCTCCCGTGTAAAATGTGTTCACACCCTCAAGATTTCGTCTTAAAGAAAATCTAAATATTACAACAATATATTACAAATGTTTTACCCACCGGAGAAAACATTTAAATGTGTCACTCTCAACATCCGGAATTTCCACTGTACTGTCTTTCTCCGCCAACGGACCGAACAGCATAGGCCTGAACACCGAGCTCCTAATGGCCAGAACAAATTTGTGGGCGGGGACGATATCTGACCCCGCCTTTCCCAGCTTAAACGAGATGTCACAGTCCACTCCATTTGTCAGCATGTAGTCCATACTCTCCAGCAATGTCAGTTCGTCCTGCCAGTTAGACTTAGACGCCATGGTGTTACACTTTCTGTAGATAAAAAAAGAATACATTTCAATATTCTCTTTTATACCTATTAACAGGTAGGTCTCTCTATAAGGGACGTTTTGCATCCAACTGTAAGCATTTTTATAAGATGGAGTGTAATTTCAGAGAGAAAAGTAAGACAGGGTACTCACTTATGGAGTTTACATACCATTCCGTTACTCCAGAACTTTTGCTGCACATTGCCGAATGTTTTACGGTCTTTATCATTGCTTGATTTACCGTTATGATCATTTAGAGTGTGTATCATGATTTAAAGTTTGTCCTCCAGCGTGTGGTGCCACTGCCTGGGTGCCATGCTTGTCAATATAAAGGTATCCCGACAACCCACCACCCCCACCCCATCTCCGTGATACTTAGTTCATGAAGCTGTGGTTTAGTTTGTCATGTGTTGACGATATAGTACATATATATTTTTTGACATCTAATGTTATAAGTTATGTCATTTAATTCCATGGTAACTTATATCTTAGTGCCTTGTTCATTTTTATTTTTCTGATATTGTATAAAAATGAAAAATATGACACGAACAAAAGGTCAACAAGTAGAAGTTCTAATAAAGAACTACCTATTTTAAGCTTTATAAAAAATACTTCTTGAGCTTCCTTGTTTACACGTTGGGATGTATTAGTTTTAGAAAAATAAGAACTAAAAGACCCCAAATCAGAACATCGAATGAAACCCGTCATCTTGGTATTCACTCATAGTTATCGATAGGACTATTAAAGTGATATGTGAATTACGCAAATTTCGTTACGAAAGGTTTACGTGGTGAGCAATGTTATTCGTGTTCACTCTGCAACTTGAAATTCATTCAATGAGACGTGCTCGTTTATAACCCCTTTAAGTATTTCTACTTTCGTTTTGGAGTTCCGGTTTGAACATTGAACTTTGCTCACACCTGATCGCGTGATACACTACAACCCAGCTTGACACAGGTTATCACACAAATAATAAAAATGGCTGAATATATCTCCATTCCTTAAGCAGGACATTTGCATGGCCTGTATTCTTTATACACTTTTAAAAAAGGCATCTCAAAAATCTGCGCAAAAATGTATTTGCCAATATAGGATATGCTAAATCCGGCTTGCTGATTCGTTTTCGTCTAAAAAGCTCTAGGGGGGATTGATATTTTCAAAATGGTGGCCAGTCCAAACGCATTTTCATGGTTTCTGAGCTTATTCTAGTGGTTGGAATTAGAGAAAAATACTCTTTCATGCCCAAGGGTGTAGGATAGGGAAATTCCACCCTCGGGATTTACAAATTTGGCAAAACCCTCTGGTGGAATTTCCCTATCCTACACCCCTGAGCATGAAAGAGTCTTATAGTATTTTGAGTATTGGGAGGTTTCTCTATAAGGGTCGTTTTACTTCCACCTTTAGGCATTTTTATAGGATGGAGTGTAATATCAGAGAGGAAATTAGGATCGGGTAATCACTTATGGAGTTAACATATCATCCGGTTACTCCAAAACTTTTTTGTTGCACATCAGGATTCACATGGTCTTTTTGACAAATACATTACTTGAAAAGTTTTATTTTCTGAATGTTTTACGGACTTAATCATCGCTTGATTTAAGGTCATGTTTTAGTGTGTTTATCGTCATTCAAAGTTTGTCCTCCTGTGTGTGATGTAACCGCCTGGGTACATACTTGTTAATTCCCTCCCAACAACAAACCACACCCAGCCCCTCCCCGTGTTAATGCGTTTAATATTCAATAATGCTAATGACTTACAGCTGGTTTTATTGTTGGGAAATCTTCAACGTACACAAATCACACAATTTTAATCTTTATTACAATATCTCTAAATTTATTAAACATCACTGAAATATGAATAGTGTGTGTACTTTCTGTCTCCCACAAATTTTAAGGATGATTATTTTAATGAAGTTATTTTCATCAAAAAAACAAAATTAAAGCACATTTCTGAACGCTCAAGGCCATTTTGCCCAAGGGTCACTATATTCAAGATACCCTAGCTCAAAATAGTGTATTGACTGTTCTTGCCCCCGAGACCTTGTATTAATGACTGAAAGAACAAAAATGGATGTTTGACACATTATCGCCATGACATGTTTGACACATTTTCGCCATGACATGCCCTAGTTAAGGACCGGTTTACTGTTATTTAGGTCTTTGGTGACCTATAGACTGTCATAGATTTAATCGGAGGTCATAGGCGCCACATGTGTTGTAGTGAAACGCTTATCCTTACTGAGCGCCTGGTCCAGACTCAGATTCTGTATTTACCAAAGGGCCCTTAGGCTTATAGGTACATACATATATATAAATACTACACATTCTCTCGGAACATAATTTAAATGGACAGAGGAGTGGCATGACAGTGTGCTTATAAACTGGTCAACAATGTACATATAACAACACTTAATTAACACGTCACAGCTATGAAACATCACATTACATAAATCTATAATGGACGCCTCATTGATTCTAAATATGAAAATTTTGATAAACGGGATAAATTTCGAGCATTATTTATACTAAGGAGTTGTATAATTTTGAGAAATTGGGAGTTTTCTGTAATAGTATTGTTTTATTGTTCCTTAGATCGATATAAAATGGACAAATCAAAATAAAATAGAAATCAGCTTCTATATCTCTCAAATGATATTGAGTACAAATCCTGCGTACGACATTATAGTGTTTTCCAATTTCTACAATCTAGTAAACATGTGTTTATATTTCACCTCGCTCTCTAGGGGGGTTGGGGTCATGATCATTTCCTTGCTTCCCCTGTTCCTGGTGTGGTATTGATGTAATGCCTGAAATGTCTATTCTGTCCTTGTGTTGACGCTATTGTATGTCCTCTTATGTGTGAAATGACGCTGTGGTATATGCTATCCCGGTGTGTCTATCTTGTATGTTTCGTCCTTGTGTTGCCGTGATGTCCTTGTGTGTTGACGCTGTGGTGTATTTTGTCATGTGTTGACGCTACGATATATCCTTTTTTCTATTTCATGTCATAAGATATATTATTAAATTGCGTAGTAACTTATATCTATGTGACGTGTTCACTTTGAATCTACTGATATCGTACCAATGAAGAATATTAGTTGACAGATATAAAAGGTCTACACGTAGAAGTTCTAACAATAGTGAATTAAACTAATTTCGTTTAGAAAGGTTTATCTGGTGAACAATATTGTGCATGTTCACTCTGCAAAACGAAGTTCATTCAGAGAGACGTGCTCGTTTATAACCGTTTTCAGTATTTCTACTTTCGTTTCTGTTTGGAGTTCCGATTTGAACATTAACTTTAATCAAATGTGTATCATGTGATTCTTTACACAGCAACAGTACAATCCAGCTTGACCCACATAATACAAATGACTGAAGACTTTTTCATTCCTTTAGCAGGACATTTTCATGGAATGTCGTACATATTCAGAATTTTCTTTGTGACATCAGATCTTTTCAGTTCGATCAACACTGTTCAAAAAGCCTCTCCAATCTACGTCATTCTCTTTTCAATAAAACATATCGGTAGGTTTGTAAACATGTTCTTGTGTATGCAGCACAGCAGAGACGTATTTTTCTGATCACAAAATCTCAGTACCGTGATCATAGGGACCCTAACTGTTGTTGGTGTACTAATAGGGGCGTGAATAAAGGGTCGTGATCACATGAATCCATTAAGACTTACCTTGTATTCCTTGTTGTACCTGTACACTCCTTATACTTTATAACGAAAACCTTACTCAAGGTCAGGTTTTTCCTGTTTACCTACTACGTCTACTTTCGTTTTGTAAACGGTGAATTCATAGGACCGAGATTACAGGGGTGCTTACTGTTCTTGTAATGTAACTGTAATGATAAAGTCATGATAACGGGGATCCTTACAATTGTCATGACTCCATACTGATGTCTGTGTACTTATAGGGTCGTTATCACAGGGATCCTTACTGTTGTCGTTGTACTGATAGGGATACTTACTTCTCCTTTAAAAATAATATCAACATTCAAAAGAGTCAAGAACTAAAAGAGTTCTGCAGTAGACACCAGCCTAACCTATGAGCGTTTCGGATTTTGCAAATACCAGTAATCAAAACCCATCATGGCTTAAATCACAAATCTTTGTTGGCTTCTCAAAAACTTTCATTATTTTCATGATTTTTAATTGTTTAATTTAGATATCGATATTTCCATGGTCTTAGTTTATTCTTATTGCCCTACACAAATGATTTGGTCCCCGCACGCGCCAATGTTATGATAACACAAACAAAAAATCTTTCTTAATATGAAATTCTTAAATGTATGTAAACAGAAATGTTGCATCGGACATGCATTCTGAGACTATGTCCCGAATACTTTTAAAGTATTCATGGAAAAAGTGATCAGTTTTGGAACCGATCCGACTTGGGTCTTTCCTTCTTATGTTCCGGTCAGACAGAGGTAGCAAACAAGTTAAATTTAATTCAAAATGTATAAACCGTGAACTATTTGAGGGTCGTGTTTATACAGGTGTTAGGATAACATATGTTTCATATATACATGTAATATATCAGCTTCCATATCAATAAAAACAGCGACATCAAGTTACAGTTCTGATTTATACAGATTTTGGTGGTGTCTCCATAGGCACCGTGTTTGACGTGAAACACTGAACAAATTAAAACATATTGGATGATATTGAAATAGATATTACGACATATTATACTTGATGCCGAATATCTGTCCAGTGGAAACATCTGTGCCATTTCCTGATTGACTTGATGTGGAAAATACAAATGAAATGTCTCCACACATTACACGTGATATTCCATTCAGACCAGCATACGTGTTGGGGCCGTTGCTGAGACAAACTTTCAGTGTATAGTCCTTATTAGGTTGGACCCCAACTGGTTTACTGAAGAGCACCTCAAATGTTTTCTCAGTTGATATCGATGCCACAGTTGTGTTGGCTATTTGACCGAGCTCTACAATTTCTATGTGGACACAGTATGTATAACTTCCTTTAGTACACCCAAAGAGAACGAGTCCTGTAACGTCCACGGGTTCAGAAACCTTGAATGACAACGCATCAGGATTTATCGAATAGTTCCATCCCGTGTTGTTGCGAAAATGTTCATGTTTAAATCTGTAGCATACATACTGCCTTTTAAATCCACGGTCCCTTTTTGATGAAAATGGCGATTTAGAAAAGTTGCCAGATACGTAACCATGTAACAACACTACCTGTTCCTGTAGAGATAACAGGCTTTCTTTTGTTTTGGAGATTGACACAAACTTCTCCTGACTCATCAGTGGAAACCTCAGTAAGTACAGGAGATCTCCCAGGACGTGTCGCCTATTGGAATCGTTCACCTCTAGATCCTTCTCGGTACATCTACGGTCAGTCCAGGACATAACAGCAGTAAAAATGTCCTCTTCACTGGCTTTGAGATTGTCTGACCTGAGAACATCACCGAAACATTCCTGGCCTAAATCTGAGAGAAGCTTTTCTTTCACTATTTCATTACTGTGTTTTTCTATAAACTCCAGACAATTCTGACGTAAGACTTGATTGTCAAACAAATAGGCAGTCTCCATTATGGTACATACGTTGGCTGTGGACAAGTTGTCCGTCATGAACTGACCACATTCCTTGATCAGCCGTTCTACGTTGTATTTATTGGCTGCGTACATCAGAGCCGTGACGTTGTCAGCCGTTATGGTACATTTGTCCGTGTACAGATACCTACAATGAAAGTTTAAAGTATTTACTCTATTCTTTCAAATTCTGGGAGTAAATGATGTCTGTAGTATAGTACTCAAACAAGATTTGAAAAGAAAATGGAACCTATTACGCATTTTAAGTCCCTATAATGATTGAAATACTGCAGGTTGGGAGGTCTAGAGTTTTGTAGCTTCTAAATGTCTTACTTTGTTATCCCTTTTCAGAATGACGTTTTGTTTTTTACACACATACGTGCAATAAAAATGAATTGAAGAGAAGATTCAAGACATTACAAGCAGCATTATGGTCGTCCAAAACATTTCGTCCATGTGAATTCCATCATAAACCCTTCCGTGTAAAATGTGTTCGCTACCTCAAACGCGAAAAATGCAGAAATAAACCGTATTATCATTTAGACTGAAAGGAAATCCATCAGTATATAATTTATGTTATAACAATATATAAATGTTTTACCCACCGGAGAAAACATTTAAATGTGTCACTTTCCACTGTACTTTTTTTCTCCGCCAACGGACCGAACAGCATGGCCCTGAACACCAAGCTCCTGATAGCCAGAACAAATTTGTGGGCGGGGACGACATCTGACCCCGCCTTTCCCAGCTTAAACGAGATGTCACAGTCCACTCCATTCGTCAGTACGTAGTCCATACTCTCCAGTAAAGTCATATTGTCCTGCCAGCTAGACGCCATGGTGTTACACTTTCTGTAGATAAAAAAAGAATACATTCCAATATTCTCTTTTATACCTATTAATAGGGAGGTCTCTCTTTAAGGAACGTTTTACATCCCACTGTAAGCATTTTTATAATGTGGAATGTAATTTCAGAGAGAAAATTAAGACAGAGTACTCACTTATGGAGTTTACATAGCATGCCGTTACTCCGGAACTTTTGCTGCACATTGCCGAATGTTTTACCGTTATGATCATTTAGAGCGTGTATCATGATTTAAAGTTTGTCCTCCAGTGTGTGGTGCCGCTACCTGGGTGCCATACTTGTCAATATAAAAGTATCCCGACAACCCAGTACCCCCACCCCATCTCCGTGTTAATTAGTTCATGAAGCTGTGGTTTAGTTTGTTATGTGTGGACGATATAGTATATATATATTTTTTGACATCTAATGTCATAAGTTATGTCATATAATTCCATAGTAACTTATATTTTAGAGCCCTGTTCATTTTCAAATTTTTTTAATATCGTATGAAAATGAAAAATTTGACACGAACAAAAGGTCAACAAGTAGAAGTGCTAATAAAGAACTACCTATTTTAAGCTTTATTAAAAATACTTCTTGAGCTTCCTTGTTTACACGTTGGAATGTATTAGTTTTAGAAAAATAAGAACTAAAAGACCCGTCATCTTTGTAGTCACTAATAGTTATCGATAGGACTATTAAAGTGATATGTGAATTACGCAAATTTCGTAACGAAAGGTTTACCTGGTGAGCAATGTTATTCGTGTTCACTCTGCAACTTGAAGTTCATTCAATGAGTCGTGCTCGTTTATAACCCCTTTAAGTATTTCTACTTTCGTTTTGGAGTTCCGGTTTGAACATTGAACTTTGTTCACACCTGATCGCGTGATACACTACAACCCAGCTTGACACAGGTTATCACACAGATGATAAAAACGGCTGAATATTTATCCATTTCTTAAGCAGGACATTTGCATGGCCTGTATTATTTATACACTTTAAAGAACGAATCTCAATACTCCGTCAACATCTTTTCAATCAAACATATCGGCAGGTTTGTAAACATGTCGACAACACCTCAGTACCATAACCATAGGTACCCTTACTGCTGTCAGTGAACTAATTAGGGGCGTGATTATGTAACAGGAGCGGGTTAATGCAAGGCAAGACCGGGGTTCAAACCCGGGACCCCCTGAACCCTAGACGGACGCTCTACAAATTAAGCTTGCTGGTCGCCGAGAATCGACCCAGTCCAGTTCCACTACAATAACACAGTCATGATCACATGGATCCAGTAAGACTAACCTTGTATTCCTCGCCGTACTTGTAACCTCTTTGTACAAAAGTTAATACAAAAACTTATTCGACGTGCCAGATTTTTCCTGTTTCTCCTACTCCGTGTACTAGCTATATGAAGATACAGTCGTGATAACAGGCATACTAATCTTTTATCTATGAATTGATAGGGACATGATTACAACGGAAATTACTGTTGTTGTTGTGAACTGATAGGGTTGTGTCGGACCAGTAAACATAGGTGTCAATTTAGTTTACAGATTTTTTATTTTTTCAATATCTAGAGACAACTTTTTGTTATCCCTTTTCTGAATGAAATTTGTTTTTTTATACATATAGGTGCAATAAAAATGATTTGAAGAGAAAATTTAAGACATTACGAGCAGCAATATGGTCGTCCAAAACATTTCGTCCGTGTGTATTCTATTCTGTAGCAAACCATGGTATACGTGGGAAACTACTTGTCTGGTTAAACAACTACATAAGTAACCGAAAACAACAGGTCTTTGTAGGACTATTAATGGAGTGTCACATGCGTGGCATGAAGGTGGATCTTTTCGTTTTAAAAGGTACGAATGAGTAGGATATGTGTGCCCAGTACGGAGCCGAGCGAGGATAACTTCCTCTCTACGATCCTTCTGACTTGGAACAGATGTTTTAAGTTTCGGTTGTACTTTAAAAAGTTTGTTGCTGGTCTCGAGAGACCAGCGTTGCTGCCATTCATTTTGAATGGCTGTACGAATAATTGATTGTTTTGGACTTGAGAACTTATTTAAGAGAGACTGTCCCAGGTGTTGTAAGTGTACTTACTTTTTCATGTAAAAATCAGTCTTTGGTAACAACGTTAATGCTTGTTTTAATTAGTTGTCGGTCACTACGTACAGGAAACTCCACATGTTGTAATTGTTGGTGACATACATGTTGATCTTCTATCTGTTGAAAATACTCACGTAATTTATGACATCATCCACTCGTTTCACCTGACTAATGTAATCGACAAACCGACACGTATTGGACGCACGAGCTCTACCCTTCTCGACCCAATTTTACTCTCGGACACGTGTACTTCAAACTTTGCTGACGTAATCGACATTGACGACCACATATCAGAATCTGACCATAAAGCGACGACTGTAGATCTGATTGTTGGGACTGTTATTGTGAGGACGTATGAACGTAAACTAAGATGTTACAGTGAGGCTAATTATGAACTTTTTAATAATAGGCTAGACGGTACTGACTGGCTAGATTTGTTTTCGACTGCGCACTCTCCGGACGACATGTGTGAAAATTTTACAGCCAAATATCTGGACATAGCTGGGAAGTGCATACCTACAAAAACTGTAACGATTCGATCTAATGACAAGCCTTGGTTCAATTCTGAAATACGGCGAGAAATCAGGAAAAGAGACCGACTATTTGTTAACTTATCTAATTTTAGAAAACAACGTAATCATGTTAAAAATCTCAAAAAACGCACTAAAGAAATTTTCTTTGCGGACATAAATGGCATTTTAGATCGTTATTCTGGTTCGAACCCTAGATTCTTTTGGAAAACAGTCCGCAGACTTTTAAAAACTTCTGACACCTCCAATACTATACCTCCCCTTATTGATGATGCAGGAAGTCTTGAAATGACAAATGAAGGCAAAACTAATATCCTAAATGATTACTTTGTTTCTATCTCTTCTATTGACGATACTGACGTTGACGTACCAGACGTAGAGCTAAGGACGGACGCTACAATATCTGACACAATTGCAATTAAACGGCATTACTGACATTCTTAAATCTTTACCTATCAACAAAGCTGTAGGCAGCGACACAATAAGTCATCATATATTCAAAAACAATGCGGTCTCTATAGCCTTTCCTTTATCTCTAATATTTAGATCTTCTTTGGAAACTGGTATCTTTCCGAAACAGCGGACATTAGCTCTAGTTATGCCATTATTTAAAAAAGGTGATAAAAAAGATTCTGCAAATTATCGGGAAAGTTTTCGAACGTTTGGTTGATAAATACTTACATAATTATTTGCTTGAAATTCCCTGATATATAAATACCAATCTGGTTTTCAGCCTGGACATTCTACTGTTCATCAAATTATTGAAATATATCATACATTATGTGAAAATATTGAAAAAATGCAATCATCCTGTCTAGTTGTTTGTGATATTTCTGTGTGGCACAAGGGACTGATTGTGAAATTAGCAAACCATGGTATACGTGGGAAACTACTTGTCTGGTTAAACAACTATGTAAGTAACCGAAAACAACAGGTCTTTGTAGGAAATAGTAAATCTTCCGTCAAAGCTACAAATGCAGGCGTTCCACAAGGTTCAGTTTTAGGTACTTTACTTTTTATTATCTACATAAATGATATATCTGATAACTTCGAAAATCTTTCAATTTTTTTTTGCTGACGACACGTCTTTATTATGCTCTGAACCATCCCTTTTGGCTATCGAAACTAAAATTAACAACGACCTAGTTACAATTCAAAAGTGGGCAGAAATTTGTTTATTTGTTTATGTTTAACGGCCCATCGACGTCTGTGGTCATTTAGGGCCATGGTAATTTATTTATTTATTTATTTATTTATTTATTTATTTTTTAAACTTTTAAACAAACGTGTGAGTAGCGAAGATAAAATCAGATAAAAAGGTTCATTTTAAAAGCTTTCGCATTGTATGTGTAAATAATTAAATAAAAAGGGAGTTAAAATAATAAAAGAGATAACGAATAAATGATATGAACTATGTAATATATATAACGTCAAAAAGGATAAGGTGGGTTAAAAAGGTACAAATGAGTAGGATATGTGTGCTCAGTACAGAGCCGAGCGAGGACAACTTCCTCTCTACGATCTTTCCGACTTGGAATAGATATTTTAAGTTTCGGTTGTACTTTAAACAGTTTGTTGCTGCCATTCATTTTGAATGGCTGTACGAATAATTGGTTTAAAATCTGTATATGGTAGTTTGATATTTGTTTGTTGGAGATTCAATGCATTCTTTGCTTCCTTGTCAACAAATTCGTTGCCTTTAATTCCGACATGACTCGGAATCCATAGTAAAGTTATTTTAGACCTTTTTAAGATACGAGATATTCGAAGAGCAAGGTTTTGTACGAGTGTGTTTTTAGGATCTCGTAACTGTAAACTCTGGACAGATAGAGAGTCTGAACAAATGGTTGCCTTTTTAATGCGGCGTTCGTCGATATGGTCGAGGGCCAAACCAATGGCGCATGCTTCGGCAGAAAAGATGGAGGCGCCGTCTGGTAGTCGGACTGAAGTGCAAGAATTAGCAGTACATCAGGCTGCTGCCACTTTCTCACTTTCTTTGGAACCATCGGTGTGAAGTTGTGTATGAGAAGGGTAATTCGAAATGCATTCCCGAAAGGAGGATTTGTGTTCTTCGGGCATATCACTAGATTTCCCTCGCTCATGTAATGTAAAGTTAAAATCAGGTGTTTGAATGGTCCACGGAGGAAAATCAGATATGTTAAATTCAGCTATGTCAGTCAACTTTATGTTGAGTTCTTGCAGGAAAGGAAGGGTGTCTATAAGGCCCTTTTTGGACCCCGGTATATTCGGATTTTCACCTCCTTATTTTGTTCAAAGATGTCCTATTGTATGACATGCGGAAAAACTAAGGTAAAACTTTGACCGAAAGTGGGTTTCCATTAGACAAGCATATGTAACAGAATGAAAAATGACAGAAATTCAATCGTCACCTAAAGATTGTTTATATAAAACGAAGGATTACGTCAGGGGGGTCTTTTCGGTCATTCTCAATTTCAAAAGTAATTTGTTTTTCTCAATAATTTCCTTTCTAATTAATATTTTGACTTGAAATTTACAACTTCACTCATTTAAGTAGACTTACATAAATTGCATATTGACTACGTACTTTCCTTTTGTTTTATACCGAGTTACGGGTTCTGGACACATCTCAAACTTGGCTTTTTCAAATATCTCTCAATTTTAAGTGAATTAAAAGGTGCATGACACCCTTTATTGCTATAAGTATAAGATATCAATTGTTAGTATTGTATATTATATATATCATATAATATTTGCTCAACCCCTGTGGCTGAAGTGAGTTCCAGGTCCTGATTTATTTTTTTACTTATCAAAGTTAACTTACAAATCAAAAATGGCATTTGCCACCACAACTACTGTAAAATGATTGATTTAATATATGAAGTTTGATTTGCTGGTAATTTTTAGTCTCCTAGCTTCAAGGAAAGTATCTGCTTTAATCGTTAAAGTTAACCGATTTCATTGTTTTATCAAATGTTCTGCCTATTTCCAATGTTTATCCGCTGATTGTGCATAAAAGGCATTTGGGGATAAGCATGTAACTTGGCATAAAGTTTAGTTATATGATGATATTAAATTTGTGAAAGTTTCATACATATCCCACAATGCCTTTTTACTTAAAAATACATTTTCCTGTGATATAGAGTACAAGGACCAAAGTGCATCTCCTTGCCAAACACCAAATATTTCCTGACAATACTAGTTTATATGAATGAATGTAGATTAAACAGGTTCAATAGAGTATTTATAGTAGTAAGAGGGGCGTTTAACATGCTACACTGACCAAAAGTCAGATAGTTTATGCTTTGTAAACGCAAAGAGAGACTAAGTTGTTCTTTCAAGTTAATGCTTGCAATTAACAGTTAATCCTTTTGTTGATTTCATAAGGTTTATTTGTTACATTCAATTCTAGCTGCTACTCATATTATTTCTTAAATACTTTTCTTCACTTTTTGTTACATTGCGTTAACCATGCCATCGGGCCCATCAGATATGTCCCGGGATATTCTAAAGATTTCTTAGGTCTGTTGGTTGGTGATGTTGCTTCTGTCCTCAGTTGGGATCGAGGTACAGAGGAATCGAGAGGATCGAGATCGCTGCGCACGCATATGTGCCCTAGATGGGCCATGTTTTTGAGTATTTTCTTCTGATGAAGTTGGAAACATTGACTGGTGGTGTTGGTGGTGGTGGTGGTTGTTTGTGAGGTTTGTTGTTGCTTGTTTTGCTCGTGAAACGGGATGGGTGTCCCGTGAAGTTCCGTTGGCCAGCCATGTCTGGGACTTGTGAGCCCCAGGCAGGTCTGTCCCCAGATACTTGAATGGAAACATCTTTGACTGTGACACTGTCAACCGGCGTCTTGCCTCGAGTCACCTGTGTGTAAGAGGGTGCAGTAATGTCTGCACTCTCGACTATCCTCCTGGCCCTCTCCCGACTCCAGGTAGGGCAGTCGCGAGAAGAGGTAGCGTGCTTCCCCTCACAGTTGACACAGCGCAGGTTGGGATGTCACAGTCACTTTGTTCCGTGTGACCCTCACGTACTTCTGACAGTTTCGGCATCGCAATGGATTTCGGATGTAGACGGAAACGTTGTACCTCTCATATCCGATTGTTAGTGTTTGGGGTAGTGTTAGTGTTGAAAATGGGATGATGAAGGTGTTTGTTCTTATTGTGTCATTGTTTTTCCTGATCACCATCCGCCTCACCTCAGAGGCCGGGACGCTCTCCTCCTGGAAATATGCCAGTATGTCTTCATCGGTGTCATTGCGCAAGGCTGGGCACCTGATTACCCCCTTGCTGCAATTAAGTGATGAGTGTGGTTTCACACGGACACCGATGCCGGCAAAACTGGTTGTTCCGAGTAGGTTCATCGCCTGTTGTTGGCGATAAACCTCTAGAAGGTGATCGCCCGATCACAATGGCTTAACGGATTTCACATCCCCAGTAATTCCCTTTTTCCCCATTTCCTTAAAAGCAGAGGCGACAACGAGGCCGTTGTTTTGCCACTCTGTGTGGTGGTCATCATAAGGAATTGCAGGAAATACGTGTTTTGTGTTATATTTGAGCTCACCTTGTTGCGGTTTTGGGTTTGTCCGTCTTTATTGTGATTTTTTTCCTTTCCCATGTGTGTTTTTGTTTGTTTCACGATCTATGTCTCCACCCGCCGCGGAGCCCAACAAGGGGACACTGGTGTGACGCGGATGTCCAGCGCCAAAGTGTCAGAGATACACAGAATAGTATACTCGTAAGAGTATATTACGAGTATACATATATACTACTTGTAGGAATATACTCTCGCGATTGACTCTAAGCCACCGCCTTCTTGGAATTATGTAAACCAAGGGCTCGGCGTAACCAGCCGATTGATTATTAACAAACTCACGCCCGGTTATGCAACTTCTTTACTGCCCCCTTTAGTCTCAGAAAACTCACATTATCACCTCCATGACGCAAATAATTACTCCATACCAAATTTCCGACTACAACTAATCGACTTATCATTTTCCCATCTATGACTCGACTTTGGAACCAACTAGATCTTGAAATTAGAAATAGTGCTCCGTACGCAGCCTTTAAAAAAACCTCTTCGAACCATGACAAAAGTTCCAAATTATTACTTGATCGGAAATCCACGTTCTGGACAAAAAATCTTAGTCCTCGGGTTGAGATTTCTCTATCTTACACAACCAGTAGCGATTGATTCTATTAATATATACTTCATCAAAGTCTCTCTCTCTCTTTATTTTGATTTAAGTGTTGAAAGATGGTTGATTGTTGACTCAAACAATGCTTTTAAAAAGATATTGAGTTAGAAAATCTTTTCCGAGCGTGATTTCGACAAACTGGCACTGGGTCGTCAGTACATTGTATTTACCAACGTATACTCTAAGAAAAACAATTTGCTTGCGTTGACGGCTCAGTCGAGCCGACAGCACGATTTACCCAAAGAGACCGGCCAAAAAACACACAAAAAGCACACAAAACACAATATATACGTCTCTGGTCGACCGTAAATCTGCAATTACTGTTGAGATATCTAAATCAGGTTAAGTTGAAGAGATGTGCGCCACACAGACCAAATTTTAAGATTCGTTGTGTTAAAAGATAATTCCTAACTGTTTTAATTAATAATATAACTTTTCCATTCTTATACCTTTTCTTTTCAAAATTGTTGAAGGCTTAAACTGTGTGGAAGACTATGCCGGGTGACGTTAACAGTTATATATTAGTTTATGCTTTATATGTCTCTGCATCAGTATATCACCCGATATATTATGTACTTTGGACTCAAAAGTGGCGTTTTATCTAACAAGGAAAGACCGACAGGGAAGCTTACTAAGACGTTTGCGGATTGTTCCGCCACTTAGCCTGTCCCTTAATTTAAATTAAAATGTTAAAAGTATAAATACCACTGTGTCCAGTCAGGACACATCCTTTTAAATGTAATATATAATCGTGCGTGCACAGACGGAATTCAAAGTCGGTATAAAGGGGCCAATAGGGCCCGATATCCCCAATATCAACGACATACAGACGATGAAAACACTACCAACGAGGCCAAAATCAGGGAAGAATCAGCCAAGTACCATACTTCCAATTTAGAGTGACCTCCCCTTAATGATATACTAACAAGAATGGCTTCCAACAACCATCAGATGCTCCTGTGTAATTCTGACGGTGAAAGCGGTCCTATTAATCATCAGATGACGTTGCTAGAGCTTCCAGAAGAGATCCTGTATAACATTATTTCTTATCTTTCCTACAACGAAATAAGCGAATCTCGAAATGTAAGCAACTGCGATCTAGACTCGACGTGATACACGTTTCCTGCTGAAAATCAGCTGGCACGGTGTCAACGAATATTTTCATCAGTCAAAGTTTCACAATCTCTGTTCAATTCTCTATAAGTAATATTATTATAATAACTTGTGTATCTTTTGAATCATCTGACAGCAACCAACTTTTTGATAAACATAAAAATATTTTAAAAGTGTACTGTATACTTTTGTCCAGTGGTACTTTCTATCTTATGTTCAAACATACAGTAGTGATGTATGCAAAGTTTTAGCAAAGGGATCTTACGTTTTATCAATATAACTATGACATTCCATATATAAAAATACCCGTTATATACTATATCTTATCTTGATAAAACGTCAGACTACTGTGGTTTTAGTTACTGTTAGGTCTATTTTTATAAAAAAAAAAAAAAAAAAGGCTCATAGACACCCAGCTTCACAGTCTGTCGCTCTACCAATATTGTAACTAGAAGGTGACCGTGGTAGTATGTAGGATTAAAATCTGCCAGTTACCGCCCATTTTTCAAATTTATTCCCCTCGAATCCTACTTCAGTGGCCAAGGCTTTAACTCTGTCACCATTAAGGGAGAGACACAAACACCATTTGTACGTTTGTAACAGGAAAGAGAGTTGTGTGCTTCCACTGACCTGCCTGGCATCAAACCAGAAACCCCAGCTTCCGGGTTGGCTGTGGAGTTAATCTTGTGGCAGATTTTAATTGTACTTAGGCTTACGGTCACCTTCTCGCTTCGAGCTAATGGGAATTTCCCTTTAGCGCAGTGGTGAGCGTCAAAGTAGGAACCTAGGGATCGCGGTTTGATCCCCGGTGTAAAGCACACTATTCTCTTCCCTGTTACAAATGGTGTCTTTGGCCCTCCCTGTGGTGTCAGGGAGTTAGAACCTGGGTTGTTGTGCAAACATTAATTAAAAATGGGGCAGTAGTGTTGCAGATTTTAATTGTACATAGGATTTCGGTCACCTTTTTGCTTCGAGCTAGAGGGAATTTCCCTTTAGCTCAGTGGTAGAGCGTCCCACTAGGAACCCAGGGATTAGGGGTTCGATCCTTTGTGGAAGCACACTATTCTGTTTCCTGTAACAATCTTAATGCAAATTTCAAGCTGTTACTTTTAATGAACATCTTAAACGTTTTTATGTTTTTGAAAATATCATTTTTTATTTGCTAATCAGACTGATGTATAAAATACCTTCTATTTTGGTACCAGAAGTCAACATATTCAAATTACAAAATTGCAGTAAATATATTAAAAATAAATGTTTTTTCAACACAGGCGTGTCAGACCATTAATAAACTGTGCCAGCAGGTGCTAAACCATGGTTTCACCAAGGTAGATAAACAACACACTCAGATACAGAAAAGAGTGAAAAGTCAACTTCCTCGCCGAGAATCAGAGAGACGAAATCATCCTCTTGCCCGTCATGTAGACATCCTGTCTGCCATAGAGACACGCCTATCTCTACTGGGTATGACATACACTCGCTACATAGACATGGGGCTTTGCTGCTTCATTCCAGGAAAGGTATGTTGATATCGAGCTGTCCTTCTGCCATTGGGTATTCTTAGGGCTGGAACAGGTAACCGAGTACCAAGTTGTGTCTCAGTTACAAGTACTATCCAGTTAGCAAATCTTTGTAACCAAAAACTGTCCCATAATGTGGGTCAATATTTATTGATTTTCCTGGGGGGAAATGTCACACCTGACACCTTAAAAACACTTGTGATCATGATCAGTATAATGGCTTTACCATTGAGTGCATGTATACAATAAACTTTGAATGTAAACCTAATATCGGTTGACTTTCTGTTGAACAATGTAAGTTATCATTCACTGGCATCTATCATCTGTGTTCTGACCGGAAGTGATGCACAGAAATATGTGGGCATAGTGTTCACAACACGTGAGGGTAAAATGAAACCACGAAATATCCGAGCCAAGATGCTTGCGATATGTAGCCAATTCATAAAGATTTGAGAATTTGCAATGTTTTACAACTGTATTTACAAGGCACAAGTATTGAGTTATCTTTGTTGATGCATTTAGTGAATTAAGTAATCATATTTTTATTTTAAAAAAAGGCCATTGGTGGCTGTAATTCATTACACAAAAACATGTTTACTCGGTTTGGTTCAGATAAGCACACAGGGTTATCTGACTGGCATTATTTCTAACTGTTGCAGCCCTAGTGTTTATAACACCCACATTTGTTAATAAGTCTCGGAAAGTTACTAAATTGTTATACCTGTGAATTAAACCTGTAGGCTTTCATTCCTATAGGCAGTGTTGTTAATGTTATATCTGTGCTCTATGTTATAGATGTAAACTAAACCTGTAGACTCATTCCTATAGGCCGTGTTGATAATGTTATATCTGTGCTCTATGTTATACCTGTGAACTAAACCTGTAGACTTTCATTCCTATAGGCCGTGTTGATAATGTTATATCTGTGCTCTATGTTATACCTGTAGGTACTGGACGAACTGCTGAGGATACTTGCTACGCTCCAGAGGACAGATCAGCCTCCACGTGCCCATGAATTTCTCCAGGAATTGCGTGACATATCTTCCATGGCCATGGAACACTTTGAGGAGAAGATTTCTCCAGCCCTTAAAGCTCGTATGCCAGCTGTTACGCTTCCCTTCCCATTTGGTGATCACTGTTCTGCCAGTCCAGAACCCCAACATAGTATTGCAGGTAACATTACTGTGAATGGATATTAAACATATTTTCCTTTTTCCTGCGTTAAAACTCTATTGAGGAAGGTGGAGTGTCACATACATACTGAAACAAGGTCTCTTGCCCAAATATATATAGAAGATATATATATCTCTATTAGCGTCTTCAGTAAGGCATGTACCAAATATATTTCACAAGTGTTGCTAATATTTTGATATCTTTCACAAGTGCACAGCCAAACGAGTGTATTATATTTGGTCTTGCGGAAGACACTGTTAGATATTATGTTTACATTATTATCAACAAAAACCTACCCTGCAATGCGAAGCAACACATCGAGCGGACAATACTTGATCTGGATTATTTTACTGCTAGCATATCTAGACAATTCTACATGACAAAATAGAGTTCTACGTGCAAACAATTTTTGTTATATATAGTAGGTACTTTAGGTCGTATTTGTAACAAACGAAGCCAAATTACTGTCAAAATTTGATTATTTGATCAAATTCCCGTCATATGAACTCATATCACTACGTGTTGTTGATACTTTGAAGCGCCATATAGCAGAGAAGTGTCACCACTTTACCTAATGATGAAATATCAACACCACATATGTAAGTTATACTCAATCTCTGTCACTGTCAGAGATGACCCTGGTTCTTTTATACTTTCTGCCTAACTTGGGAATTGGAGAAGCCGACACATGTTTCATTTGACTTGAGTTTCCCCTGGTCAAATAGTTAAAACTGCTGGCCTGTATAGTCTGCTGGCTTCCATGAAAATGAAAGTTAACTGTGGAATTAAATGTTGTGTTTCCCCCAGAAAATAGTTCCCCAACCATGATTCGTAACAGACGATTCTGGTCCTTTGGACTTATTAAAAAATGTTACCACATTATCATTTGATAGATAGATAATAAAATTAAAACATTCCTTTTGTAAAACTATTTAAAATACAGATATACAAGTTATGCACGATAATTAAAAACAAAACATTCCTAAAACTGTATTCACTAAAGCTTTGTGGCAGTAGTTTTCTGATGTCCCCTGCAGTCAATTACATTTTATGTTATGTGCTGGAGATATTCTCTTAATCTTGGACTGCCAAAAATAGTTAAGTGTCTAACCCTGATTTTCAGTCAGAATACCTGTGGTAAGTGTCAAACCAAATAGGTTAAATCATAATCCTTCATTGGAGATGTGCCACTTGATAATATATCTAATTAAATAGGCTATTAAGAAATTGAAATAGTAATTTCTTGTCTAACTTTCCAGGTCCATCCACATCTCCAATGCTGGCTTTGGCGACCAGTCCCATGCGAAATAACCCTCTGCGACAGGAAGTCATCCGTCTTCAGATGCAGTGCAAGTCTCATACCTCCACCATCTCACAGTGCAAAAAAGAACTTGTAGAGTGCAAGAATCGCCATATAGAACAGAGCAAACGGATCTCTGAACAAAACAGGAAAATTCAGACACAGGCAAAAGTGATATCTGAACAAGCAGAATTGGTCAAAGAACAGGACAAAAAGCTCAGTGATTTAAGCAAGAAAATTCTTGAATATGATCAGAAGTTCTCGGACGTGTATACAGAGCTGTCAAAGATGAAAGGTGAGGGTGAGAGTTCTTCCTCTGCGAGGGGCTGTCAGGGAAGTAGCTTTGTCATAAGGTCAAGTGAGGGCAGCAAGGAGGATATGGAAAAGAGCAAGGCGAGTTTGAAAAGACGAGCTCTACGACAGGACTACCCGTTCAAGAAACAAAAGACTTGATCACACTATTAGCTTGAGGGAATATTTACGTTTGTGTTGTTACTAAGTGAATTTGATACTAGAATTATTGTTGTAGATTTTACTAAATGACTAGGAGATGTATTTAAGTTTTAAACATGTTGTACAGGTTTTTACTTGTCTGATGTGAGAAAGGGAGGGAAATCACGAAATGTGTGTAGCTGTTAACAGACTGGTACCAGAACGTTCAGACTGACAGTGCTGTAATGAATTAATCTCAAATCTTTGATCATGATAATTATCAAGCCCTATGTTGATATGACAAATAAGGAAATAGAAAGTTGAACTGTATTTAAAAGAATGGGCACAAAATGTGAAATATGAAGACATAGATGCAACCAAAGAAAGCTCACAAATATATTAAGAAGACTGATATATGTATTTCATAGTTTTAGAGTCTTGCTATTGTAATTTTGTCCATCATGAGAAGGTAAGTATTGAGTTAGGAGTACATGATTCCAGGTGAATATTTCTCATTGATTAAACACACAACCACCACATGTTCAAGATATTTTTTACTATTTTCTCACAATTTTCCATAAACAAGATACATGTAAACAGTATCCCTTGTTGAACATTCATCTGAGATAGCTCTGAGGTATCTCATTAATGTACCAACTGGTGTCTCGTGCCTAGTTTGATGGACTCCAGGCATGTCACAAGTTTCAGTAGTACCGACACGTCAGATGTTAGGTCAAGAGTTATGCCCCTTACACTGCACTATTGATGATAAATGTGGCAATGGGTTTTCTTCAGTATATATATATGATTTTTTTTGCAAAAATTAAGGATCTAAGAACTAAGCAGTGGTATGATTATGAGTCCATTATGGGGCTATTTTACTGTCTTTATATAATATAAATCTGGATTGTGAGGCTCCTGTGTGTATTTGTTGCTAAAATAAGACTTGACAAACCAAAATAATACCAAATCAATTCAATATCATAATCCTCCAAATAATGATTTTAAGAATAGTAATGTGCAGTTTGAAATATACAGTCTCCACTTATGTTAGTCATATCAAGTAACGAATAATTATTCAAAGTCAACATATTCACAAAGATTATCGGATATTAAATATCATCAAATGAAAACCGGTTAAGGAGGAAAAACTGACACATTGTAAGTGAAGATTTTGGATGGTCACCACACGGTTGTCACATTTAAATCCATGAATCTGCCAAACAGCATTACACAGGGCCAGTCAGCACTGGTTTTACTTCTTTTTGACTGTGGTTTCTGTATACTGTGGTTCTGTGCTATATTAGAAATTTCCAAGATTTTTTCTGGTAAAGCTATATATGCCTTAAAAACTGTTTGCACTTTGTGAAACTCTTGAAAGTGGTTTATCATTTTATGGAAGGGAGCTTTACCAGAACGAAACCTTGTTTTTTCCCTGTAAGTTCATTTAAAGACACTTTTTATATGCAGATTTAATTGTTGTTTATTCATTTTTTGACTGAAATACATAAAGTAAAGTACACATTAATTTGTTATGTGGTCATTATTGAGAAATAAGTATTTAAGGATCCCTATTCCACTGAACTGTGATTGTTTCTATATGCAGTAACCTCCCCTTAATTTCTGTTTGGATATAACGGTAGAACCATTGGGCCGGGACACTTCCGTCAACCAGGGCCCAGTTGTTCAAAAGGTGATTAGCGCAAATTTAAATTTTTGTGTATTTGTAAAACAAAATCATTGAATTAGTTACAACTTTCCAGCTATTAAAAATTCAGTAGAGTGAATTTACATGCAAATTTGTGAAATGTTTCCTTATATATTGACGCAATTATTAAAGGTTGAAAAATGTCGTTAAACAGTGATTAAGCTTACCACCTTTTGAACAACTGGGCCCAGGTAGCTCAATCGGTTAGAGCTATAGTTTAGCCGTCCAGAGTACATGGTTCGATTTCAGGTCTAGCCCTGTGGTGGTGTTGTTTTACACTCGGGACACTGTTGTTGATTATGTTTTGTTTAAGTCCCACAAGGTATAATTTTTCATTTCAGAAATGATTCATCAAAATTTTGGTCATGCCAGAAAATGAAATAGCAATATGCTATTTTTTTTATTTATTTATTTATTTCATTTTTTAATTGTCATGTATAAAAGCTGTACAAGGCTTGTACATGATAAACATGAATAATGATTCTATTATAGACTGGGCTAACAACATATACACTGGTCAACCAATTTTATATACTTTATTCTTTCAAACATATATGTACCGAAACCTGGGCCCGTATTCATGAAACTGTTCTCATGCTCAAGCATGGATTTTGTGCTCAAACCAACTTTCTAGTAACTCAGTTAAATCATGTCAATGATCAAAAAGTCAAATGTCAACATTGAAAATAGTATTCAGCTATAAGTCACTTCAACTTTTTACCAAATCATTGACAAAATAGGTTTTTATTATAAATTCCAAATGGAAACACGAAATTAGGCTTGAGCACAAAATGCATGCTTGGGAATGAGAACGGTTTCATGGATACAGGTCCTGAAATACCATAAAGTAGGGGTTTTTGTACGTTATTTTCTATGATAATTAAGTATGAACACTAGATTATCTGCTACATATGCTGCATCTTGTCATTCTGTATTTCCTTTTAAATTATTTTAACAACCCGTTCACTACATTCTAGATGTTTTACACAGTACATTTGTGTATTGGTGTTGGCAGTGTTTTAAACCTGTTGTTAGAGCTTAGAAAATGTACAGCTGGTATATTTAATGTGATTTAGACATGTTATTAGGAATGAAGACTTGGCTGATGACAAATAACTTTGTGAATCATTAAAATCTTGTGTAAAATATCTGGTGCGTCCGTGTTGTAAATTGTGTGAGATTGTTAGCAATTTTTCACAGGATTAAATTTGGAGCAAAATATATTATTTATAGTCCATAAGATAGAAAATCTTTCTCTAACATGTTTCTGGATATCAAAAATGATAGATAACATTAATTTCTATGATATGTTATTTAACCCTCCATCATCAATGGGGCTTTTCAAATCATCTTTTATCCATGATGCATCCTTTCGTCCGTTGCTAATTTTTATTACCATTTCTCAGGCAGAGCTGGACAGATCCTTTTCAAGTTTGTTTACATGCTCTTCTAGGTTCCTTGTTGTGAAACATTACAATTGTTTGTGGATATGAATAACCCTATGGCGACCATGCAGCCATCTTGAATTTCGTGATCAAAAGTTATTATGGTATTTTTTTACAGGTTCCCATTGGTCCTAGTTATGCTTACTCAGTTTTGTTCATTTTCAGATCTTTCTTAAATGTTGTGCACAGATTCCTCTTTCGTCTTTGTTGTAGAATATCATTTTTGTTTTAGGTAGTTAGAACAATATGGCCTTCAGGCAGCCATTTTTGAATTCAAGGTCAAAAATTTGTTATTAAGATTTTTCAGAAAAAAATAAAGAGGTCTTTCTCAATTTTTTTACACTGGTTCCACTTTTAAATCACTTTGATGGTCAAAGTTATATAAGGTCGACTTTCATATCCTCTTAACAGTGAGATTGGAATGTATGCCATGTGCTTCATGTCCTAAGGTCAAGGTCAAATGATGAAAGGTTAAGGTCACAACATTTTGAAGGAATGATGCAATAAAGACAAGACTCATGATAACATTAGGCGAAGGATGCTCTCGTAGTTTATTCATGTGACCTCTGATTTTGGTTGCCAAGATCCCTCCGATCTTGTACATGCTCCCATTTTAAGGGGTAGGGGGCATATACTGTGAAATCACTAATTTTTGTGGGATTTCTAATGTCGTTGATTTCGTGGAAAACCTTCATCCACAAATTCATAGGTCAATAAAGTAATGACAAGTTTGACATAAGCAATTCTCCGTTTCGGTAGGCACTCTTAATCAACAAAATGACGAAATTTGGGCCCCACAAATTATCTGGTTTCACAGTATAGTGTTACCCATGTGTCATGTTCCATCTTCTTCCAATTCATTGTCAATTGACTCCACCGACTTCAATTCTTAATAGATTTTCATTAATGTTTAAACAAACGTCAAGCATGAAAATACATCGAATGAGTTCGATTTCAGGATTGCAAGGTTACTCTTGCTATTTATAGGTCAACCACAGGGCCAAGGTTGTATCCATGTCTTACAAACATTTGCAAAAGTTTTCAAAAGGAGAAATTATTTTACAACATAAGCATTTTTCTAGAAAAAAGATTTGTAGGTGTGGCTGGTCAAAGTCTATTGACTCATTCACCCCTGAAATTTCATAATGAACTTTTCTAACCTTTGAATTGGAAGAGTTCAAATGTGTCTTCAGGGGTGAATGAGTTAATTACATAAACACTACATTTTGCTCTTTTTGGCTATTTTTAGTATACCTTAAGTCACAACAGTTATTAAAAAGTACACATTGTTGATGATCTTACGCAGAAGGCATCTTGATCTTACTTCTATGTCTTTACCATAAAGACGGATAAATGTTAGTGGAAAGCCAAAAAAGGCTAATATTTTACTTTTGATCACGTATGGAAAGAGTAACCGTTGAATGATGGGATGTATTATGTTTTCAGGCGGGTAGGCGGGCACGCATTAGTTTCCGCTCAATACCTGGAGTAATTTTGAATGGATTAATTTCAAACTTGGTAGGAATGTTTATTGCCATGAATGCTCGGACAAGTTGGATAACCAAAATTATTTGCCAGTTTTTTACGGAGTTATGGCCCTTTGTAGAATTTGCCGAAACAGTTTCCGCTCAATAACTTGAGAATTTTTTAATGGATTCATTACAAACTTCAGCCATAATTTACGGACTTACGGCCTTTTGTAGAATTGTCGAAACACAATGTATTTATGCATTTATGGCCTTTTGTGGCAAACTGCTCATTCGACATCTGACGGGCGTATCATGTACCGCTTCGTTGAACTCTTGTTTACAGTATATACCTGGTTCTATTTTTAATAACAGTGACCTTGACCTGAGGAACTTTTAAACCCCTATTGCACATTTGCACATCACAGTGTATCACCATGTAAAATTTCAGAAATTTGGATCATGAGATAGTCTCCGGAAAAGAAAGTGCTGACCGACAGACGGATGGAAGGACGGACGGACGGACAGACAATGTGATTACTATTCCGTCTTTGCGTATTGCAGAGTTATCTTCTCTTGGGAGCAGATATTAATTGTTACGTCATTGGTCTGTGTGAGAAAATTACGTCGTTTTCTCAAAAATTGATGACGTTATTCTCACAAACAAGTGACATAACAATCAATATCTGCTCCCAAGAGAAGATAACTCTTCAATACGCAAAGACGGCATAAGGCACCCATAATGCGGGGCCCTAATTATCACACGAAGAAAAGCCACATTTTCATGTCTGGAGTTACTGTCATGACCTATACCTCTCATTGATACAACCAAGAACAGACCTCATTTGAGGACACACTATGTATCACATAGGACAAATGAAAACCACATGACAACAATTATTTTGGTAGGATTTCTTTATTCTAAGACATTATTCAGTAAGTATTGATGGCATGGAGAAGCTTGTACACTTGTGCAAATCATATCAAGTATGCCTTATGTATTGGTCCTACCCTACCCACAACCATGTTGGACCTGTCCCAAACAATGAATGGATCGTCCAACATGGCAACTGTGGGGATGACAGGAGCAAACAAATTAACAACAAATATATCTCAACTGGATTCTCAATAGCATTTGTAATGTCGTCCACTTTAGTCAAGTTATACATATATATAATATATATTTTTTAACCAAATAGTTTTTTATCCAATAACAACAGTATTGATGATGAAAATAAAAACATTTCCGTAATTATTGGCAATGTTTAAATGAGAGATTCAGTATTATGATAATGCTTCAGATAATTCTCCTCGTTTGATTCTGTCCCATGGAATAAAAAAGCTTAAAGAAATGTCATAATATTTTTTATTGATTTAGTGTTAATAATAATATCAAATTTATCACTATATAAACCACTTGTACATAAAGCTCATATAATGTGTCCAATTGAAAAGTTGAAGAAGTTAAATATGAATGAGGTGAATGGTGTAGAATTCTGTCGTACCGTACATTCCAAGGCCCAGTACATAAAATTGTCAAGCAGTATTGCTTGACTGAACAAAACATACATATACCTGGTACAACTAGATTTCAGAAAGACTGGAATTAACATGAAATGCCTACCTAATCAATAATATCACAAAACACTCTCCATTTAGAAAGGTCTGACGGACTGTGTGGCTACAGGAGAGTTCGCAATGATTAGGTGGGCATGTATATTACTGACCAACTGTGATCAGAGATCACTTTTCAGGCTCTCGCAGTACAGCTACAAGGTACATAAGAGAAATTTTGACAGGATTTTCAACTTAAATAACCTTAGCAAATGTGTAATTCTAGGAACTTTGTTTGGGATTCAGCAAGACCCACACAAACATTTTTTATTGACTGGATAACAAGTAGGAAACTTAATTACAGTATACAAAACAAAACAAACTTCTAGTTAACAAGGAATGCCTGGATTCATATCCAAGACAACAAAAGAGTAAGGATCAAGCAAACCAAATGGCCATCTAACAAATGGGGGAGGAACTAAAAAGAAAAGAAAAAATGAGGACAAAGTAACGGACATGTAATAGAGGGCAAAGAAACAGACATGTATAGAGGGCAAAGAAAAAGAAATGTAATAGAGGGCAAAGAAACAGAAATTTAATAGAGGGGGAAAAGGAACAGACATGTAACAGAGGGAAAAGGAACAGACATGTTATAGAGGGCAAAGAAATGGACATGTAATAGAGGGCAAAGAAACAGAAACATAATAGAGGGCAAAGAAACGGACATGTATAGAGGGCAAAGAAACGGACATGTAATAGAGGGCAAAGAAACAGAAATTTAATAGAGGGGGAAAAGGAACAGACATGTAACAGAGGGAAAAGGAACGGACATGTTATAGAGGGCAAAGAAACAGACATGTAATAGAGGGCAAAGAAAAAGAAATTTAATAGAGGGGGAAAAGGAACAGACATGTAACAGAGGACAAAGAAACAGACATGTAATAGAGGGCAAAGAAACGGACATGTATAGAGGGCAAAGATACAGAAACATAATAGAGGGCAAAGAAACGGACATCTATAGAGGGCAAAGAAACGGACATGTATAGAGGGCAAAGAAACAGACATGTAATAGAGGGCAAAGAAAAAGAAATTTAATAGAGGGGGAAAAGGAACAGACATGTAACAGAGGGAAAAGGAACAGACATGTTATAGAGGGCAAAGAAATGGACATGTAATAGAGGGCAAAGAAACAGACATGTTATAGAGGGCAAAGAAACAGACATGTAATAGAGGGCAAAGAAACAGACATGTAATAGAGGGAAAAGGAATGGACAACAGTTTATTTATTTTCTTGAATTCTTTTTCTGGTTATCATGTTTACAATTTAATTCATACATTTGCAGAGATTCAAAAGCTAATGAACTACTGAAAGGATATGTTTCCAGTTGCCATAATTATAAAATTTTACCAAAACATCTGTAAAGATTAAATTACAAGTTTATTGTTGCCATTGTCAGTTCACCACATTCCAAACATTCAAAAAGGAATTCAGATATATACAACAAAACCTCATGATCTGGACTGTTTAATCAAGTACATATATGTACAGTAAAACTTTGGAAATGTTACCTAAATTTAGTTTTATTTCAGAGTATTAGCCTGGCACTAGGCATGTTGATGCTCTGGATTATTAGCTTCTTGATTAATAAGGTTCCACAGTATAGCAGGCATAAATAACTATTG